AGAAACCTGGAGTATAAAGAAGTTTGAGCAATAACAAGTTGTTGTTTTGTTGTGCCTTATGTTCTTCAGCAAGCAATTAAGATGAAAAAGCAGCTGAGAGAAATCTCTGACTGCAGGTCACAGCACATATGATGACAAGTAAGTTACAGGCAGTCAGATGAAGGGATGCTTCACTGAAGAAATGTGAAAGGTTTCCCCTTCCCCATTTCCTCTCTTTTCTGCTACTGATTTCCCTTGCTCCCATCAAGCCCTTGCTGCCTCGTACACTGGCCAGATCCAATTACCATGTCATTTTTTCCATAAGGCTACTGCTCTACAGTATAGTTCTTCCAAGCAATTTGCACCTTTTCCGTGCTAAGTACTCTCCTCTGTGCTTATTATGCATGTAAGTGTATATAAAAACTAGTTTTTATTTCAGAATTAAATATCTCATCCAAAGTCCATACATGCCAGAAGAAATACACATATTAACTTGCAGAAGCTTTGAGTCTGACCTATGAATGCTTTCCTTTTAAAAAATAAGCAATGACTGGGAAAGAAATGCCCTCAGAGGAAATTTCACAGGGAGTCACAGACCAACCAGAAACTTCTGCTCAGGCTTCCCTGTCTATGTATATATCTTTATATCTGTATTTATGATGTGTATATAATTATGCATTTCTGTACGTGTGTATGTATTTGTAAACACACAGAGAGACACATACAGACTTGTGAATTATATTCTTTAGTGTTTCGCAGCGTTCCAAGCTGTTTTCTAGACAAAGGTAGCCTTTCAAGATTACCACTGGTCTAGCTGATGCACTATTTCATGTTATCTGAGGGTCAGCAGGTAAATGTTGTACCTTGGTGTTGCACAAGGAAGACTAACATCATTCCAGGAATACACGGGTCTTGCTGCTCCCCTATGCAATGCCATTTCTGCTTTTAATTAGTTCTGGGGATTCAATGTGCGATGGGTCAGTCTCCCCAAAACAGATGCAATGGGAGGTAGTTCTGATGAGCTGGTCTGGTATTCCCTGCTCCACAACGAATCACAGAATCATTAAGGTTGAAAAGAACATTAGGATAATCTGGTGCAACCCATCACCGCTGTGACCACTGAGCGACATTCCTCAGTGCCACATCTACATGCTTCTTGAACACCTCCAGGGACAGCAGCTCCACCACCTCCCTTAACACAGATAGCACATGCATACTCCCAAAATACATGGGCTAAGGACTGCATAATATTCTTACACTTACGGTACAAGTACCATCAATTTTTGGAAAAAAGTCCAGAAGAATAACAGCTCAATGTATTCTTGTTACACTAGCTCAAATAAAAATTGTACTGAGTTCATCTCCTCATTCCAGAAGCTGCAGCTTCAGATCTCACCAGGTGCATTGTCATGTATCCTATAAAAAGTCATACAGTGTGCTTTATACCATGAACCTAACCAAACTTTACCTGTGGACCAGTGTGCAGGAGCACTGCTTATTCACTAATTTACCCCACTTCACCCAGCCACCTTCAGCAGACCTTGTAACCTGTAGCAGGAATTTCCTCTTGGACTCAGGAATGTCTGATGCAGCCTTTGAGTTGCTTGTCTTTTTTACATGACAAGGCTCCATTGCAAGCATACTGGCCACCTAATTAATAACCTTGACCTTGGGAAAAAGAAGCAGAGTGCCTTTAATAACAGCCCCAGTGAGCTGAGGAGGCTCTGCAATTATGTCGCATAATATAGTCATGAGAAGAAGGTAACCAGGGAGATAATGGTAAACATCAGCCTTAATTCTGTCTGAAAAATAATTGGAGTGATCTCCCTTTGTGGCTGGGGTAGAGGAGAAAATTGGATGGGTAAATTTCCAGCTACCACAGATGCTAGTCAAACATGCTGCACTCCACCACTGGCCAAATTATTCGCTGCCTCTGAGTGCTATGGGCACCAATTACCTGGCTTCCTCTCAGTGCAGATAAGTCTGCATCATTTAAATGAGAAAACAGAGTTGGTTGCGGCCCAACTGGTATCACTCTGTGCTGCCACTGCATCTCTTGTTTACAGTGGACCCACCAAACTCCTCTGCTTGTCAGTATATTCATCAGTCCTGACACAACCTGGCCCTCAGAGCTGGTGACTTCCCATGAGGGTTGAAATTATCCTAGCACAATCCTTCAGGATTCAGCCATGGGAATGCTGATGTAGGATGCCCTCTGTTGCTCTCCTCACTGGTCTGTGCACTGACTACAGCCCTAAAGTGTCTTTCCCATCCCAAGGGCACCCCTACAGGGATTCGCAGTGCCTCCCCTCACTGCAGGCTGTGGAGAGGACATATGCGTGCCAAGGGAGGAGAGTTGGGATGCTGAGAAGTTTGCTAACGGTTTGTTCCTACCTCTGCTGGACACCTCCATCAGATGCTGACATTTGCCTCTCTGCTGTCACCAACAGAAGTTCTACTTGGACCTCATGCTGACTGGCTAGGAGACTCAGGAAGCACAGTTAAGGCCACTCTCAGTTTTGAAACAAGCCCAGAAGAGCAACAAACATTTTCCTCCTGATTGCACCGTTTCCCAGAGCTTTACCTTCCAGTTTCTTAGCCCATTTGGGACATTCAGTCTCCTTACTGATATAATCTGCTCAAATTATCATCATTAAGTCTCTCTTCTTATTTCATCCTCTATCAGAGGCTCTAGCTGGGATAGGGTGCCCATCCCATCCTGCCGGTTCTGCTTCCAGGCATTTCGGGCAGTGAGTTCTTCAGCCTTTTCTTATATTTAGATCAGGCATTTCATTCCACGGCCACAGGGTCTGACCATATTCAGATTGAACTGTGGTTTCAATTCCCCATTTCCTATTCCCATTCACTCAGTTCTGTAGCTGGCCAGGCAGAGTTACACAAGTTGGTGGTATATACATGCATGTCACATGCGTATCAGCTAGCCTCAAGTGACATGTTAGCATCAAGGTCTCAGAGTGGAATCACTTGGCATCTTCCGTTAATACGGAAGTGAAAATAGTATTAGGAAGCCACCTATGTTATCCAGGGATCCAAAGGGTTCCAAAAGCTCTGCCACTGCTTCACAGTGTCTTTGGGGAAGCAGTGGCCAATGAAGACATTGCTGATGACCACAGGTTGCCAGACTCCAACAGGGCATCGCGCAGTACTGGGAGCACATAGTGCAGAGTGAGGGAAACGGACTACCAGCACACAAAGCCACAGTGTATATTCACTTTCTAATCTTTACAGGCTCTGTGCATCCTATCTCCTAGCCAATTTGTGACACGAGTCCCACTGCCAGGACAGAGAGATCCCTCCACTGCAGAGCAACCAGGCCATCCGGCTCTGAGTGCTGCTGACTCCAGCCAGACCTCCCTGCTGCAGCACTCCACAGCTGCTGGTAGCCTCAGTGCCATCAAAGCGCTGGCTGGGAGGCGTGAGCCCTGCTGGGCTAGGACAGCATCCAGCACTGCAGTACTGCCACATTCTCCCTCTCCATTCCTCTATGGATCTCTCTTTATATTGGCCACACATTTGGCACAAACACAGCCTTTATAGCTGCTTTCTGCTGGTCCTCTCTAGTACCCAATTAGAAGTCTGTCAGCACCAGGGCCATCACTCTCCTGCCGCTTCTGACAAGCCTGGACACCGCTGTACTGCCACAGAAGATTAAAGGAGTCTTTCCTTTGTATCACCCAGTGGCTGTGTGCTGGCCAGAAACTAATTCTCATCCCAATGAATGTGTATGTGGAACAACTAACAGGCTCTGTAAGCCTGTCTTCATTCGTTTTTAAAAGCAACACACTCCCTAAAGGACAGAGCTGTCTAATACACATTTCTCCTCTTTCCCTTTTTTCCAAGCCTCGAGAGAGTTGCAGTTCTCAAGAATTAGAGACTTCAGGGGGTGTAGATGCTTCCTAGTAGTCACAACAGGACTGGGCGTCAGGAATCCTAGGTGCTTTTAAATGATTCATTTAGAAGTGATTGTGACTGCCTTTGCTCTTCAGTGATTGTTTTCTCCATTTCAGCCTCTCTGAAACTGAGAAACAAATGGGCATGTAGTTCTTTTACCTCCAGAACACTGGCTCAGATCTGCTTGAGGCTGGCAGTAGCAGGACCTCACTGTGCTCTGAAGGCTCTTTGGCAGCCTGCGTGAAATGAGTTGAATGACAAACCTGTACATTAACTTTACCACCGAGCATAAAGATTACTGGGTAGTACAAAAGAAATGTTGCTTTAATCTCCTGCAGCAGTACAGAGGTGCTTGAATTTGTCAGGCACCACAGAAGGAGTGATGGTCTGTGGGACCAAGATCTCAACAGCATCTCAGGGTGCACCTGGGACTGCAGTAGGCCCATTAACTTCCAAATTCTGGTGGCATTATGCAGTAAACCCACCTGATGGAGTATGTAAAGCTGAAACACAACTGAAATCATTTACCACCAACAAGTTTTATCTAGCTCCCAAAAAAGTTGAGTCAGCATGTATAGACTGCTTAAAGCTTGTAATTCATTTAGCATGGGGTAAAGCATACCTACTCACACTGGTGTAAATCTGGAATAATTCCACTGAAGTATAAGAAATGTAAGGTCAGTAGAGTGAGCTAGATTTAAACTAGCATTACTAAGATTTTTTTTTTTTTTTTTTTTTTTTTTTTAAGCTAAAAAGCATGAAAGATAAACATCCTTTGAATTCCTGACCCCTCTATGAAAATGAATTACAAGATGTGGAAACACTTTGAAACTGATAGAAGTATCTTTGCCTCAGATCTCTCTCCCTCTCTGTCTGTTAATCAAAACAAGGCACTGTAATCAGCTCCGATTCTAGGTCTATCTGTAGGGAACAAAGTGAACTTAGAAAATTAAATCATTTAGCATTTAGCATTTCCTTCCTCATTTCGGCACCGATTGAGCCTGTTTCACAATTTCTCCCTCTTCTGCAGCTATTGAGCGGCTGTCAGTGCTGCTGCAGATCAGCAGCTTGGCAGGAAGACACCGACTGTTCCTGTTTGCTGGAGGGATCACAGCTTCTAAAGATTCCCTTTTAGACTCAGAGGTTTGTTTGCTGCCTTCTTGAAGTCTGGTTTCCTGTTTTCCTTGCTACCTGCTGAGTAGGAGACTTGGGACAGACCTAAGTGGGGAATAGTTTGCCAAGCTATTATATCCTACCAGCAAAATACTTGATTTCGTAGCTGTACCTTAAACCTTAAGCTTCTTCTGGAAGAGTTTATTCCAGCCTTACTTGGATGAAACATGCTGTGTTGGCAAAAGTACAATTCCGCTGGTGTAAATTATTCAGTGCTAGGAGCTTTTGCCAACACTGCTGTGTCGATCAGGCATCATGCCTCTTTATACCTCTACCTGACAAGGCTGAGCCAGCCCAAGCGTGTAATGTAGACACATGGAATATTCTAAAAGTCTTTTGGTTATCTTACTTAAAAGAAATTATAATAGTTACATATCTGTGGCCTGGGGCAGAAGAATATTTCTGAAGTGGAAGAAATCTCCTAATAATAATCATAACAGAATCAAAGAATAGCCTGGGTTGGAAGGGACCTCAAAGAACATGAAGCTCGAACACCCTTGCCACAGGCAGGGCCACCAACCTCCATATGTAACACTAGATCAGGCTGCCCATGGCCCCATCCAACCTGGCTTTGAACACCTCCTGGGATGGGGAAGTAATAATTACGAACAACGTGATAGTTTGCAATCTCAATCTCAACACATTCCCTGTATTTTCTTCCCACTGCCCTGTAGCTCTGGTCAAATTAGCAGACATCAGTCATAATTTAGCCATGAAAAGCACATCATTCGAATTTGAAGGGAGGAGTCGGCTTTCCTTTCTCTAACATGGTTCTAAAAGTGCATTCTGCACCACTAATTTCCATGACTTATTTAAAATTTTTACCAGACTTTGTCCACTAATTTATTTTTCTGACCAATTCTCTGCACTCTTCCTTTCAAACCTCTTGTGTTTTTTAGATTTCAAGAAACACTGAGCATGATTTTCTGTCAAAAATTACATTTCTCAGGAAAGGGTCGCACTGGTTTTCTAATTATTTCTATTTCAAATAAATTTCCTGTTAACTACAGTTACAGGAAATAAATGCAAATCTGTTACACATTGGTTTCTTAACTAAAGCACTTCGCATTCCGCAGCTAATAATAGGCGACAATTTTCAATTGACAACTTACTTCCTCCCCATGTCATTTATGGAGAGCGTCGAGGAGAAGACTGTCAGGGAGAGAAATAAATGTTTGCAGAGGCAGCTGGCCTGGCCCAACTTCCTGTGGAGCTGCCTTCCTGCAGCCTGCGGCACGGGGTGCCTCCCTCACTGCCCGGTACAGATGGTTTCCTGTGATAGCTCTTCCTGGGCACCACTGCTTGCTGGGTACCAGAGCTACGCTTCTTTGTGTGGTGTGGTAGCCAGCAGCTTGGGCTGCTTGTTTCCACCATGCTTTCCCTTCATGCTCTGGAAACCCCCCTGCCTCTTTGTGACCCCACTGTGAGCGAAGGACGGTAGGACGTTGCTATTGCCGCAAGTCTTCACATCTTTTCTCCCAAGAGTTTTGTCCCTCCTTGTGTTCTTGTAGCTTTACAAGCCAGGTGAAAATTAGCATGGGACTCCTTGCTTGCTGTAACATAAGTATCATGGTCAGACAAAAGGCATTTCCCTTCATTTAAAAGCAAGAATGCTTTCTTCACAACACAAGCCATTCTAAGCCACTCTCTTTATGCAAGAAGCCTGAGACTGGCTGGGAGTGGGAGAGACGTCTCTCTGCCACCAAGTATGACCTTGATTAAAATACATCAAAGGGATGCTTGGATCCTGTAACAGCATAAAATGCAACAGAGATTATAAAACCACCTTTCAATGACGTGCAGTCCAAACTTTGCTTTTCAGATTTTGGTATCTGGGTTTCCTTGTCTGTTCTTCAGCCTTTTCTTCCACATGCTTTTCCTAGGGCTATGGGTTCACGACAACTCTCCAGCGTGTTGTAATCAAGTCTGTAAGTACAGCTACTGAGATTGGAACAGAGCAACATCTGTGCTTTTGTTCTTTCAGATTCAGGAGTGGTACCTGCTTCTTGCTGTGACTGAAGGAGGATCAGCCAGTACAAAGACATTAGTACAGCATAGAAACTTGCCTAATATTTAACCACAAACATTTAGGGCTGTAAGTCTCATGCTAACCTTGAATTTCACGTTATTAGTCTTCCCACAAAAACTTTACGTGTTGAAATACAGTGTGAACATAGAATATACATCCTCAATTCTGCTTTGATAGTGCAAATCTGGTTGAAATCTTGGTCAGTAGTCTGACTACATTTAACATTCTCAGGATGCTTTTCAACCCAGCCTAGAGGGGTGCAGAGGATTTTGCCCACAGTGAGATCCTGAAGAGGAATGATTTTGGTAGGGATAACTTCCCTGAGAAGAAAGCCAAACTATAGAAGCTCTGCAGAACCCTGCAATGGTGAATTTCAATTACAGTTCTTTCCACTTGTATTCTAAATATGAGGCTCTGCCAACAGTAGGGGGAAATGAGATCACATCTACAAATAAACACTAGTAAATACAGTGTCTTGACTAACTTGTCAAGACTAATTCCTCTTCAGTTGAAAGTTATCCAGAAATTCTTAAATATTCTTTTGAATCACGAACGTGCAACTGTGTTCCAAAGCCTCTCTTACTACCCAGCATTCTATAGAAGCAGTCATTACCTTTGTTTTCTTCTTTCCTAGGGGAAGCTCTGGATCTGACTATAGACATACAGCTTGAGGGCTTCATCACTTTCAATTTCACTTCACTTGCATATGCAAGGCAAACACAAGCCTAGAGTTCTCCCTCATTGGCTTTTAGCACAGAGGAACAAGATCTCCACCCCGTGACAAAATAAAGCTGCAAAGATGTGCTATAATTGGTGCCAGGTGGATGGGCTTATCCACTAACCAATACTATCTATACATTTATTTCTGTTTAGAAATTATGGAAATGAGATACCTAGATACTTCTCATATTGGTTTTAAATAGGAAGCCCTGCTGGAGTAACTGTTACTAATTGCTCCCAAAGGAGATACCAGTATCAGTCCATACTGTCAACATTTTTGACCTTAACTTTCAATTGCTTGGAGCTGGTCCACACCATAGCCTCATAATCCCCACTCCCCTTAAAACTCAAAGTTCTAACCCAAAGCTCAAAGACAACTGCACCCACGAGTTTTATAAGAGCTCCTTGCTACTCTTCTGCAAAGAAATTTACATTCACACACTAAAACACTAAAAAGAAGCCCCAGAAAACCTGAACTAATTAATTACTAAGGAGAGGTCTCTTGCCATTCTCTGAAGATCTTCTCTAGTTCAATACACTTTATCAGACTTCTGTCTGACCAATTTCTGTTTGCTTCCATAACTAATTAAATTGATGCTGAGCTGGGCAAATTCATAATCCTGTAGCTATCTGACCAGTTCAATGTGCATTTTGCTTTTCTTGCCTGGATATCTCGTTCATGTGCTATAAATATTATTGGCAAACATAATCAGGTTTAATATTTCATCATCTTATTTCTCTAAGTCACTTTTCCTTTTGTCTACCTCAAGGGAAAAAACAAACAAACAAACCTTGGTCCTGCTAGGCATTATTCCAGCAAAGCAGATACCATTCTTCATGAAAACCTCATTTTTCTTCCTTCTAAAGTTTTAATTTTGTTTGAGCTCAAATGATTGCATGGTTGATAGACAGAGGAGTAGACATACACATGACCAAAGGGAAGCTATTAGAGATAACCTCCCTCTGAGCTATTTCTTCTCTTGGTCAACATTTACCTGAGGCCTATCAGCTTTCACCCATGTTGGCTTAGTGATGATATGGCTCGTATGTAAGCCAATTCATTACACGTTTGGGAGATTTTACATTTCTGGCAGAAATTAAGTTTGTATGCATACATTTATAATATTTCTTAAATGCTTCATTTTCTTTTTCTGAAATTTTAGGTTTCTGTCAAACTGCACTTTTTCCTTTAATTACACACCAAAAAATCTTTTCCTTCAATATCCATGCTAGACTCTTTTATCACCACAATATTTATTGCTAACTGACCCATGGAACCTATTCAGTACATAACCCCCTTTTTTTCTCCTTTGACCACAGTCCATTTCCCCCGTGTGCATGTATTTCTCTCACTACCCCTATCTCATCCCATCCCATTAGCTCTCTGTGCTGAATAGCCTGTTCCAGGACATCAAACTTTAATTTAAACAGAAGATGATCAATACGCTTAGCAAATTGCCCATGGCAACATCAGCAGTTTGAATCAAAGGGTTTTATAGGTAATTTAAAGGGCATTCTCATTCACTCCCACAATGTAGCATATACCTATTGCTTGCTTTGCCAGTTACAGCTCAGCTGTCTGAACAAGAGGAGTAAGAGCTTTTTCTCCACACTCAAACAGTGAAATTGTACACAGCAGCTACTCTAGGTGGATATGACAGTGTGCCCTGAAACTGAAAAAGGCTGGGCATCTCAGGGGAAAAAAAAAATTAAAAAAATCAAACAAAGACTTATTTAAAAAAAAAAAAAAACAAAAAACCAAACTCATCAGAGCTTAAAATCATTATCAGGACTAAAGAAATAGAGATGTAAGAAGGAAATACATACAATCCTCAGTCTAGTCCTGTTTTTTGCTGGTGCTGTATCTTGGGACCCCTGTATTTTCATGTAACAGAAAGGATACTATCTTCAGTGTTTCTGGAGCCTTGCCAGTCTAACTTTCAGATATCTTAGGTAAATCCGTAGTGTCTGTGTCCAAGAGTATGCCGAAGAAAAGCTGCTTCTATAAGCCCAATTTTGAAGACATCTTGTTTGTGCCAAATGTACGCCTATCTGGATGGTCATTTCTTTCAGGTTGCAAATGCTTTTTTATTAAACTTCTCTTGAGAACACGAAGAGCTGATCTGAATAGACCTGCAAGGGCAATGAACTTTGGTGATGACTAAAAAGAGCTGATGGCTGTCTGACACATGGCTAGCTGCTCTAATGACTTCCCTCCCTCTTCAGCTTTTGCACTAGGAGTAGATAAAGACACAACCTGGGTATACACCTACTGCTTTTATAAATTTGAGCTACCAGATGTCTTTGTTGGAAGAAGAAACCTGCTACCGTGTATGGGAGAGAGTACAAGAGATGGCCATGAATGCAAGCATCACCTGGATGCTTGTATTGCTTGCTCAGTCAGCCAGTCTGAGAGGGAAAGTTGTCTCCAAAGATGTCCTGCAGAGTTAGTGAAATGTTTTGCTACAGAGGCTGGTAGTTTCAGTAACCAGAGGGGAAATACAGAAAAGGGATCTACAGAAAATGATGGGCTTGGTATATAAATCTAGAAAGTTGCTACAGTATGAGAGCAGATTTTCATTCATCATTTAAGCCTGTGACAAGGTACAGGACTTGGATAATCCCAGACATCCTGAGGGTCCTGCAGAACCAAGGCAGCAGATAGACCCTAGTAAGACATTCACAGCAGAGGAAATAAAAATCAGACATACACTGGGGTGTATCTATCTCCAGTTCCCATTGAGAAAGGCCTCTGGACCATGTTTCAGAAGCACAAATGTAGCATGCTATTATTTAGCAGCACATGGGGCCAATAAGACCCTTGTAAGAGGAGACATACATTTCTAAAGGCACTTAGCTCCTAGCTGGCTCTAGGTCGGAAATTACACAATGGATGTTGAAATGTTGGTTTGTTGAAAATTTGTCATTCAAGTAATGAATGTCTTACTTCCTGTTTTTGCTGAAAGCTGGAGAGAAACATAATTAGAAAGAGAAAAAGCAACCTTGGCAGTCAAACAAAAAAAGCACATTTCGGGCTGCTGAGCCAATTAAAATTGTTTATGTAGCCCACGAACAATATTTTTCTCCCCATCATTATAACTGAGAGAATTCATCAAAACTCAGCCAGATTTGCTTGTAGGCAACCTGATCCCTTGTCACACTCTGGACCATTAGCACCCAGGGAAGAACTCAGGGCACCCTGTAAAGTCCAGAATGTGCATAGGGAGCAAAAAGAATCATAGAATCATCAAAGAATGGCCTGGACTGAAAAGACCTCAAAGATGATCTAGTTTCTACTCCCTACTATGTGCAGGGTTGCCAACCACTAGCCCAGGTTGTCCAGAGCTACATCCAGCCTGGCCCTGAATGCCACCAGGGATGGGGCATCCACAGTCTTTCTGAGCAAAGAAAAGATGGGGAACTGAGAGGGCCCAACTCCAGACTTTTGGTTCTGAATGGGTCCCCAACATTCAGGAATGACTCCTTCCCTCAGCCTACTGCTACTTTGCCACGGTAAGCGTGGGATTTCAGAAAGCAATGGATGATGGAAGATTTCTGACATTTGAGGTGTCATTCCCAACATTTCATTTAATATTTTTTTAAAAATATTTTTATCAAAACTTCACAATTCACAGTCATGAACTTTCACAATTGAAATATATATTCAAGTTAGGATAGGGGTCTCTTTTTTTGAGCTTTTCTTCTACGTAAAGAAACTGAGTTATTTCCCTTTTAATTCTAGAAACTCACATTTCAATAAACCTCTACTATTTTCCTTTTTATGTTGGAATCCATATTCCACTGAACATGGATGTTCAGAAGCTGAGTTTCTCATGATGTAAAGTCTGATTTATTTATTTTACCACGTGAGGAAAGGACTCCAATCCAAAGGGCTGGGCAGATATTACTGCTTTTTAGCACAGTGCTCATCTGCTCCTCTCATAACAAGATATTATGCTTTTCACTTGCCTTTGAATTCTGTCTTTTCATTCCTGGATACGTAGTAATTTTGCTTGTAATATTTTAATGCTATTATTATTTTTGTTAATTGGCCTGCTTTATTACTTTGGTTGAAAGTTATACATGCCGTGAAATAAGCAGAAGTGAACAGATCAATATAGAGGATAAACAATTTTTCTGTTATGCAGCCAAAGCAATAAACATTAAGTGCGTGGACATGCAAAATGAATGCTGCCTGTGTCCTGACTTGCCCAAAGTTGTATTTTTCTGCAAATGTGTTTTGCTTGCTGCCTGTTTCTGGGCACGTTCAGTGGTGTGTCCGCCTCTGTGCATTTATGTTATCAACCATAGCCTGTTTTGTTTAGAGACCTTCAAAAAAAAGAATTGGGTGTGACTTGCTCTGGGAATGTTCTCAAAACAAAAGTTTGGGTGGGTGATCAGTTTGTTTTGACTTGCCCTGGTATACAGTCTAGAGAACAAATGGGAAGGTGAACTCACAGATGATAGCTATGAAAAGCAGAAATCCTGGATACAGGCACCAATCTACTCCAGCAGAAAGGAGGCATATGAACATCTTGAAGGGAATTTCTCTGCTGATCTTGTTTTCTCATCGCCTTAATGTACAAGCTTGATTTTCACTGACATTGTAATTCCTGCACTGCCAAAGGAGGGGTTGGGTATGACTGTGGCAGGTGCAGGATGAAAGGCACAAAAAGCAGATACAGAAAATGATGCCTTGCTGGTCACACTGCCAGTGAGACACTGAAAGAAGCTTCTACACTAGTGGCTCTTGTTACCTTCTTTCAGAGATAAGTACAGGTTTTGCAATTTGTTTAGCATCAGCAGCTTCTATGTTAGTGCTGGAGCCATGCTCTGCTGGCACAACGCATCTTGCACCTGGCATGCAGAAGCTGAAGGCACCATAGCTGTAGGTCTGTATGTTCTCAGGAAAGGGGAATTTTCTATCCTCGTC